CGCTTACATTTATTTGGTACCATACATAAAGGAACACTGGGTCTGTTTGGTACAAGAGGCAGACTGAAAGTCAGTTCTTAAGTAACAACCAATGCAAAAGACAACGACTACAATTTATTTTTTTAAGCATAAAGGTGAGGGCACAGAAGAAAATAGGAACTCTGTACATGTACAGTGTAATATCTGTTCTATTTGTAATTACTCTTTGAGGACTCTTTGAGAAGGGGCATCCCGTCTTTTGAAAATGTAGTTTCTCAATGCAGAGAAAAGCAGCTGTGCTTGAGAAAAACTGGGGGTGTCCAAATGCAGACCTCAATGGCCAATGATGCAGATAACGCAGAAGGAGATGAGGGCCCCCCTAAGGATCTGGGCTGGGTAACTGAGCAGTTTGGGGTGGGAGGGTGGCAAATATGATTGCAATTACCTTAGGAAGGAAGCATGAAGGTAAGGTGCCCAGAGGGCAGGTGGAGGCGCAGGCTATATGGACTGGGTATATCTTTGTACAAGGAGACAGTTAGCAGGACCACTCTGTCTGGAAGCTTCGAGTAGTGTCAGAGGACAGGCATGAGCTCACCAGGAGAGTGGGGACAGGTTGAGTAAAGTGATGGCTGCAGGACACCATACTTCAGGAAGGAAGCTGGGTGTTACAGACTGGGAGGCAATGAAATATAAAATCCCAAAAGTCAAAAAATGTCAGGCTGCAGGGAGTGACTGGGAGAAGGGGAAGTGAATGAATTTCCCCCTTTGAAGCGAGGTTAGGGCAATGGGAAGGTAGTTCAATGAGGTCAGGAAGGCCAAGTGTTTTATGGTGTGTTTTATGTGAGTGATACACTTACTTTCAGGCCAAGGGTAAGCGGGTTTCAAAGAGGGAGAATAACTAATGGAAAATAGAAGGGGCAGGTAACTAATGAGAGGCTTTTTGGAGGCTGGGGTCCGAGATGGGATGCGGCCCAGGAAGGATGAAGTGGAAGGAAATAGGCAACACACACACACACACACACACACACACACACACACACACACACACACTCCAACTTATGGACCTACCCAAGAGACAACGACAAATGGATCTTAACAAGGCAGCCTTCCAGCAATGCTGAACACTGTGCAGGCCCGGGTGAGTCGGCCTTTTTCTCTCCCTAGGGGCATGGCATGCTCAAGGGGGCAGGGACAAACCTAGCGAGAAAAATAAATTCAGCAATCCCCAACGAGACGCTCGCCTGGACAACAATCCAATGGTCTCTATAGCAAGTAACAACGGAGCCCACAGCCCATGTGAGAAGTCTTGGTGACTAGAAGCTTTGGTGTGAGCAGCTTCCCAGTGGGTGTGGGTGTGTGAGAGGCCAAAGCTGAGAGGCACGCGCACCACGGGCGCCCCTCTCTGGGTGTCAGTGGCTATGACTCCTTAGGTGAACTGAGAAAGTCCGGTCAAGAAGGGATAGACAGACAGGACTGTCTTGGGGAGCCCTCCCTGACAGGGAACCCTAACATTGAGTGACTAAGGGATGGATGACAAGGTCTGAGTTTGCAAGATACTGGAGGCCAGAGAGGGCCCGAGAGTTTTACCACTTACTCACTAAACAACCATGGGAGAGGCGCACTTTCCAAGAAGCAGCAGGGTTTGGGGATGGCCCAGGCCAAGGCTTGAGAGGCTCAACCTGTGGTTTTAAAATACCAAGCAAACAAGCAACAACAACAAACGCACTGCTACTCAATTCCTGAGTGTCCGGGTTCCAGGCCCAAGCATCAGGTGCTTGGGGTTTTCTTCCCCAGCCGTGTCAGCATCCAGCGAAGTGAAAATGCAGCTCGGGGCATCCCTGTTTGGACCGGTCCCCTCACCGAAACAGGGAACTTTCTATAGGTTGTTGCTAAGCTTCAGAAGGTGCCGTGGGAAAAGTAGGAGAGGACCAGTTGAAACCAGTAACCTCTAGTGTGATTGGGTTCACTAAAAGGTCCATGCGCACATCCCCCCAGCCCCAGTGTAAACTGCAGGCAGTCATCATCCTGAAGTCCCGGGACTTTCAGCACCCTTCAAGTCTGTCCCGGCTGACTTAACAAGACCGGGTCCTACCACCAGCGCCACGGTTGCCGCAGCCCAGGCGTTCGGCTGCAGCAGGGCGCGGGAAAGGGCACTTTGGCGCGGAGTGGGAACCGAGCAAGGGGGATGTGTCGGCGCGGACCCTGGCAGCGACATTCCCCTTCCTCCCTCCCAACCCCGCACGACCCCCGCCCGCCTCCACCTCCGGTGGTTCAGCCCCCCTCCAACCCACCACATGAGCCCTTCAAGAAAGACTGCACCGGGACCCCCGACCTGGGCGCGCGCCTACCTACATCCCACCCCCAGCCGGAGCACCCAGGTGGGGGGAGGGCGTGTGAGGAAGGGGGTGGTGACCGCAGTCTCTGGGCTGCTTGGGCGGGGGCAAGAGCTTTGGTTGGAGAAAATGGGCGGGGGCAAGGAAAGGCAGACCCTGCAGACGCGGAGGGGGCGCGCCGAGCCTCTCCTACCCCCGGGACGGGCGTGCCAGGCATAATGGGGGAGCGAATAGGGGAGTAGGGTTCCGGGAAAGTTTATACCGGAAAAGCCTGGCACCTTGGGGACCTGGGAGGCTGGAGAAACTGAAGCCACAATCCAGGTGCCCCGCAACACGGGGAGGGGATGTCTTGTCTCCCAGGCCCCACACACCGGCCGGATCCGGCCAAGTTGCGGCTGGGGTTGGGGACGTCCATGAGGGTAGAGGTGAGGACGTGGTCGAAGATGGAGTGGAGGATCTAGGCAGACAGAGGCGAAGATGAGAAGCAGGGTGGGTAATCGGGAGGAGGAAGCCAAGCCGGGGTGGGGGAAGGGACTGGGACCGCGTCGAGGTTGGGTGGGCTCGGGTGGGGCGCGCAGCGCGGCCGGACTCACCCGCGGCAGCCGAGGCACTGAGCAACCCCCAGCCCAGCAGCAGCAGTAGTGGCGGCGGCGGCGGCGGCGGCGGCGGTGGTGGCGGCGGGCGGCCCCAGCGACTCCCGGTGCCCGGCACAAGCGCCCAAATCCCGGTTTCGCCGCGAGTCCTCCCTGCCGGGCAGCCGCAACATCCCTGCTCCGGTGCCCGCGAGCGCGGCATGGCGCGGCCGGCAGCCCGAGGGAGAGGCTCCGCTCGCCGCCGAGGAGAAAGGAGGTCAGAAGAGCTCTGAAGCTTTTTTTTTTTTTTTTTCCTGCTCCGGGAGAAAAAAAAAAAAAATCCCGGTACGCGGGAGCCCTGAGCTTCTGCGGCTGGAATGAACCAAGTGTCCGCCCGGCCGGGGAGAGGCGCGCTGCGCTCTCGGAAATGACTCGCTCCAATCCTGCTTCGCGGGGTTCGCGCCGGGGGGCGGGGGGGTGAATTATCCCCGGATTAATCACTCCGGAGCCGCTTCTCCGCGGCTCCAAATGCTGGGGGTGGAGGCGCAGCTAAGGAAAAAAAAACGGCGGGGGGAGTATTCAGCGCCACCTGCACCTCCAGATAAACCGCAAATTACATCTAAAGGGCTGTTTATTCCTATTTGTTTTACAATTGACCAGTTTCTTTTAAGTTCAATCCTCCAGCTTTCATTTATAAAAATCACCATTAATACTCTGCCTCCCGCGTACACACACATACACACGCATAGAGACACACACTCGCACACACAGGCACATACACGCCTCCTCCACGTTTGAAAAACGGGAATGCTGTCTGGGGAAAGGTAACCAAAGAAGATCGCAGTTCCCTGAGTCGTGGCTCTTAAGAGATAATTTTGGGTACTGGCTTTGAACTTGCAGTCTCCGGGCTGGGGAGGACACTCTGGAGTAGATCATCCCAAGAGATGGGTGCGTGGACATAGAGGGAGGCAGGGTTAAGAATTGAAGAGTGGGTGGAAAGGGGTGAAGGGTCTGTCCCTTTCACTCGGTCCAGAGCAGTCCTACCCCTGGCCTAAGACAAAATCGCAGGTATGTATACTAGGTTGGGGCGGGGGTATGAGGTTGGTGGAAGGACTGTGTTAAGACTTATTTGTACAATTTATCCTCAGATTTAAACGATTGGGCCCTGCTTATCCCACACATCCTCCCAATCAGGGCCCCAAACCAGATGAGTTTCTCCCAAGGAAGTGAACCCTTTTCTTCCTCAGGCTGGTAGCCGCTGCCTTCAGACCTCAAGGGCTCCGCGTAGGTCCCCGCCCCATCCCCCACCGCGCCTCGGCAGCAATCTCAGTCTGGTCTACCCTAGGCTGCTCTGCCAGTCACGATGGCTCCTTCGTTGTCAACGCCAAACTCTTGCCTAGGGCGAAGAGACGCTTAGGGAGGTGGGGGAGGCCGGAGGGGACCACGAGCGACAAGGCTGGGGGAGGAGGCCCCGCCTGGAGCGCGCAGCGCAGAAGCACCTGCCAGTGTCCACCCCACCCCCTCTGCCAGAAGCACCCAGAGAGGCAGATCTTGCGTTTAGGGAGTCTGGCAACCGAGTGATTTGGCCAAGCTGGTGCTCTGGCATCCTGGAGGCTCAGGATACAAGGACCACTGATGGCAGGCGGCGAAGGCCGGGACATTTCCTGGGAAGGGCCAAGAGAGGGACTTCATGGTTGGAGGCTTGGGTTGGGGGTTTGGTGAAACCTGGTTGGCCAGCTGTGTCCGAGCCTGGGAGTTTTCTGGGAAAGGCATGAGGGAGGGCTTCGGGATTATAGCTGGGGTTGGAGAGGAGGGGGACAGGCAGGAGCAGTGGACGCTAGTTTCTTATTCCCACCAAAAACTTGCTCCGCAGAGCCACGCTTTCTTAGAGCACTTGGTATGTGTCTTTCTCCCTCCCCCAACCCACCCCGGTGGTTCCGGTTTCCCTGCATGAGCTCATCTCACAGCTGGGGAGCCAGCCCGGTGGCCCCGGGGTGGGCATGGAGAATTCTCTGAATCGCGGGCTCCATTCCCCACCCCCATCACACTTGCTTCCCGGCCCCTACCCACACGGCCTCGTTGAGTGCCAAGAACCAACTGAAGCAGCCAGAAAGCCTCAGTGAAAGGCCTGCTTTATGTGCCTGGGGCAGCGAGGAGGGGGCTATTCCTTTACCATTGTCCAGACCCAGTCCGGCAAACAGCTAAGCTAGCCGAGGCTGCCTGAGCCTTCCTACCAGCCCTGCAGAGAGAGGGAGGGTAGGGTACTGTGGCCTCAGGGAAGGTTTCCTGCGTCCTGGACCTTGCCTAGGGTGGACTCTTGGCCCTTCCCCTCGCTCTTGTGGGCAGGGTTTTCTTGCAGGGAGAGACACGCAGTGATGGCCAGGCCTTTGCAGCCTACATCTGGGTTCTTCCATAATTGTGGGGCTCAAAGCCAATGTACTTTCTCCTTCTCAAGAAGCCAGCTGACTGGATCTGACATATGAAGTTCACCCTGAATTCCTCTGGGAGAATGACTGTTTGGCTCTCCACTCTTCCTGGAGACTCTGGAAGGCAGGGGACACAGTTATAATCCCTGTAAATGACCCATTCATATCCACCACCCCTGGGGCTTACTCTGATCTGTTTGGGTCCACACAAATTTACCCAGCCTCTTGTGTGTTCAGGGCCCTGTGGTAAGCTATGCTGTGAGCCCTGTGGAGATGTTCAGTGTATGGTCCTGGCTGGGGAGAAAGCAGAGGTGAAGACCCACAGGTAGCTGATACAGTCAGGCAGCTGTAATCACCACAGATGAAGAAGAAGCATGCTACACAGATACACGTCAGCACACTAAAGTGGCTTTGGACTGGGTGTATCAAGAAGGCTAATTTAAGGAGGCCAGGAGGATCTGGGCTGGGCCTTGATGCCAGGAGAAGGACTTGAAGAGTATGAAGTTGTACTTACACAACAAATAGTTATTGAGCAGCACTAGGAAGTCTCCAGGCACCGTGTTAGAAAAGAAATACACGGGATAGTGGATGTTTCTTAACTTGATGAAGCCATTAAGCAAGCAAACATGCCTAATGAAGGGTGCTGATGCAGGAAAGGTGTAGGAATATAGGGTGAATTTCACAGGGATCATCAGGGAAGCCCTCTCTGATGTGACCATGAAAACGGATGACAACCAGAATACATAGGCAAAGAGGTACCTGTTAGGGCTGAAGGTGTTGTTCGGTTGTAGAGTGGCTAGCTGGGCTGTGTGCATGAAGCCCTGAGTTTGATCCCCAGCGTGGAGGTGGATAAAGCAGGAAGTGGGGGTGTTTGCTAGGCTGTGAGCATCACAGGGCACTATAGCAGGACTTACCGTGGAAGATGAATGCAGTACTGACTTAAGAGGTATATTATCATTTCTAGCCCATGGAACCAAGAGGCAGAACACTTCATGTACTCTGACCTTTCTGTGAAGAACGAAAAGGAAGGGGAGGAACACAGAAAAAGACTGACCACTCAGGAGGCTACCACAACGGTCTGAGTCCCAGGTCTGAATAATACGGGCAAAGGCACGACTAGAGAGAAAGGGCCATAGTGATGACTGGAAAGAGACTCAGAGGTAGGAACCAGGGACATCCCAAGCCCTTATCCCTCAGGCCTGGGAGAGTGCAGCTGCCAGCCCAGAGCCGGCTCCTTGCTCACCTCTTCCATTCCCCAGATAAGCAATAGGCAGCCCAGGGGCAAGGTCTCTTTATAATATCACATTTCCGAGAGGAAGAAAAAAAAGAGCCAATGCAGTGTAGTGACTTGCCAAGATAAGCCTAATATCCAGATAACATCAAGTTTGTTTTAGAAAGAAAACAAAGCCTGATGTTTTGGAGAACTCAGGCTGATTCCACTAAGAACTGTAGTCTGGGTGCCCTGAAACTTTCATTCTGACCCAAGAAGAAAATCAAAGAGCCTTCTGAAGCTGGAGGAGAGAGAATGGAAGAGGGAGAGAAGGGGGAAGGGTAGAGAGAGCACAGACAGCTGCTCCAGCCATGAGAGGGGGAGGCTGGGATATGGATGCTGAGCCACGAGGAGTGGGCCTGCAGAGGGTCTTCGGAGCCAGGGCCGGCCTCGGAAGGAAGGCTGGGGTTGGGCTGACAGTGGGCTTCTAATCCTGAGTGTGATTAGACAGAACCGAGGATTTCTCAAGAGTGAGGCTGGTGCTGTGGTGCCAGCAGGACAGGCGACAGAATCACGGATGAGCAGCCCAGCAGGAGCTGGGAGAAGTGAGCAGGGCCAGAGCCCAAGCTATTTCCCCCAGTGTTCCTGATTCTGGTGTTCTTTCGGGAAAATCTCTAGTTGTGAAAGGAGGAAAGAAACAGGGCTCACATCAGGGACAAGACACGTCAATTTCCCCCTTTGTGTGCCAAGTCATAATCCATAGAAAAGGGGCTGTCCAGGCTTATAGCTTCTTAAAGCTCCCCTTAACAGCCACTCCCTCACTTCCCCAGCAGGCAACATCACTTCTCCTAACTACCACCCAGCTCAAGTGCCACCTCCCCCAGGCTGTCTTTTGTAAGTCCTTCCCACTCGGCACCCCTGCTGGGTGAGATGACCCTTTGAGCACCTGCTACTAGGTGGGCATCACAGACTTCCCTCCATTTTCAAGACAGAGATTCTTAATGGAGGGTAATTTTTCCCTCCAGGGGACATCTGACCATGTGTACAGACATTTTTCATTGTCCCACTGACAGGTACTACTGGCATCAAGAAGACAGAGGCCAAGGTTAATGCTAACTATCCCATGATGTCTGGAGAGGCCTTCTCCACCCCAAAGAATGGTCCTGCCCTAACATCAATAGTGTTGCGCTGTCAGTGAAAAGTGACCGCTCAGTCAGGACTACATCTCCCAGCCACCTTGGCAGTTGGGTGGGGAGTGAGACAAGGTATTAGCCAAAGGAATATAGGCAAGCGTGGACTAGATGTAGAACGTTTGAGGACAGCTAACCCACAGAGAGAATGAAGCCAGGGCCTCTAAGACACCATGGGAAGGAAAGATGCCTGCCTACCAGAAACACCCATCCTGCACCATTGAACAGTCCTAAGCCATTGAGTAGCTGGGGGCTGTTGTAGCAGCCAGGCATGTCCTGGCGTAGCTTTCTTTGTTTCCTCTGTTTTCTCCCAGGCAATCGTTAATGAACTCCGCACTCATATTCACTCATTCATTCATGCTACAAGTATTCCTTTATGTGTCGGGCTCCCTGCTAGGGTGCAAAGAAACACCTGTAAAGAAAGAGACATCACCCAAGGTCCCCGCCAGTACCTGGTTGATGGTGTACTAGGAGTTAAACAACAAAGCACAGCTAATTAAGCTAGGAGGGTGATGGAATACGATGGAAACAAGAGGAGCTCTGGCTCAGTCAAGAGAGAGGGAGGGAGGTGAGAAGGAGCATTTTCTAGAAAACAAGCCCGGAGTGCAGGGAGGTAAGATACAGTAAGAAGATTCTGCACCCGGCTGTAGCACCAAGAAAGGGCTCAGGGGCACCACAGACCTCTCTGTGTGATCTCCCGGCTCAATAATGGTCAGTTTTCTCACTTACTATCACCCAGGCAGACTGGAAACTCCTGATGGCAAAAACATTATCTTGCCTCCTGAGTTTCCAGTGTCTGTTTGTGCCTGAAATTCTTTCCTCCTTGAATGACCCAGGAGGCTTTTCCTTCCAGCTTTCTCAGAACCCATTTCTACTTTCTGTTCGGTCCTCCTGTTCAGCAAACATTGTGCATACCTATGTAGACTCCAGAACGTGAAGCCGGGACAGTCATGCTGGTCCGCCATGTCCACATGATCATTTTAGTCTTCTAAAATCAGCCTCCTTGCTACCTGGAAGATCCTGACCGAGACCCCATTATCTATCCTTCAGTTTGCTTCCATCCACTAAGCTGCAGGCACCCTGCCTCTGCTCATACCCTCACCAAACTTTCTCTGCAACCAGTTATCTTTTAAAATACAGACTTCATAATTTCACTGCCCTCCCTGCACTTTCGGTGAGCCTACAGGGTAAAATCCAAACTCCGGCCAGACCCGCCCTGCAAGGGTCTTCATTATCTGTCTTTGTCTGCCCTGACAAGCACCGGTTTTCAGCTTCCTTGATCTCCTTGCTCCAGCCCTAGGAGGCCCTCACACTCTCATGGAGGAGCTGTTCTTCCGGGTCCTGCCATATGCGGCTGTATATACCTGGAATGCCCCTTACCCCCTCCTTCATCTGGCCATCACTTATTTGCCCTTCGAAACGTGGTGCAGATGTGTGAGCTCTCAAGCCGTCTTCTGCCAGTGCCTTGGATTTTGTAACTTGAATGTGAAATGTCTTACATAGCTTCACATGCTGGAACACTAGGTCTCTGGCTGTCTGAGAAAGCTGTGGAAACTTGAAGAAGTGGATCCTTGTTGCCAGAGGAAGTATGTCACTTGGGGCGGGCCTGGGGACTTTATGGACTGACCCACTTCCTCTTCAGGCTTTTTTTTCCTGAAAGTGGATAAGCCCTTTCTCCTTCAAGTTGCTTCTGCTAGGGTGTTTTAGGCCAGCAACAGACAATTAACTAGGACAGCAGTCATCCCATGAACTTGAATAGATGGATGAGTGGCTAAGGGGACGGACGGGTGGATGGCGAGGTGAATGAATGGGCAGCTGCCTAAATTCTTGAGAAGGTCCTCAGTGGTATTTGTGAAATGGACTCACTACTTCTCCTGGACTTCATTGACTGAATCTCTTAAAGAAGCACCTTCTCTGAGTTTTGATTTAATGTTACACTGTCTTCAGAGAACTCTGATATGAGAAACTGACCAGCTTAGCCGCATTTCTGTCTTCTATGAAAGCAGAATTGAATATATTGCCCACTATGTCACTCAGTGTCCTTTATACAAGGACTCATGATAAATTCATGCTTGGGGTTATTTTCAGGAAACACTTTGTCTCTGCAGATGAAGATGTGTGCTTTCTGCTGTCAGGAAATAAAAACTGCCTCTCGGCCCGTTTCCACTTCTGCTGTAGCTCACAAGTAGGGATATGCGCTTTTATTGCCTTCTTACCTTCATGCAGTCAGATCAATCTGGGGGCCTGAAAGCAGCAGCTCTCCCTGCCTTCTTCCAATAGCGTCAGTTTGGGCATTGCACTATAATGCCGAATTTTGCTGGCCTGCCTCTGTCACCTGGCAGGATGCACTCAGGCAGTACCTTGGCCAGTCCCGGGTCCTAGGGCTGTTACATCACTATGTTGTCTGTGCACAGGTGCAAAAGTCTCTTTAAGAGGCAAACTCTGTCCACTTCTGCTCTCTCTTTCCCACTGTTCCTCTGAAGGAACAGACAAGACTTTTTCTGTCTCTCCCTCTGTCTCTCTCTCTCTCTCTGTCTCTTTCTCTGTCACTCTTGCTCTCTTCTTCTTCTTCTTCTTCTTCTTCTTCTTCTTCTTCTTCTTCTTCTTCTTCTTCTTCTTCTTCTTCTTCTTCTTCTCCTCCTCCTCCTCCTCCTCCTCTCTCTCTCTCACATCCTCTCTCCATTCCTCTCTTCCTCTCTCCATCTCTCTCTTCTTTCCCTCCTCTCCCTTCCCTTTCTCTACTCCCTTCCCTTTACCCCAGTAGAACTTTCCACTCAAGCTCTGCCTGCCTAGTCTGTTTTTCCTTCGCCCATCATGAGACCAGCCACAGTCCCACCTGGTGCCATATTATTACACTGATAATTTGTATCTCAAGAAATTTGGAGTCCTCAGATGTCCCAGTCCCACTTCTGGGCAGTTTGACCCTTTAGATATGAAGGAAATGGGAATGGGGTGGGATTATCTAGATTTTTTAGGGACTTCCAAAATAATTTGAGGCCTGAGAATTGCTATTAGCCCCATAACAAAAAGAAAATGGCAACATGGAAATCACAAATATTTAATCAAATGCAAAGTGTAACATTATGTCAACTTCATTAACTGTCGAATTTGGTAGGCATAAAAATTTCATTACCTTTGATAAGGATTTATAGGCTGGAGTTTTTCTCACTGTGTAAGATTCCCTGAGTAGCCCAAGATTGGGCAGAAACCTCAGTTGACTATAAATCAAATAAATTACTCATGGACAAAGAATTTTCAAAAGGAAAATGTCAAAAAAATCCCCTTTACCTGAAAAATTATATTTATTGTAAGAAGTGGGTAGGCTCAGTGACATGTGCCAAAGAGAGGGTGGGTGGAGTTCAGTTTTCTATTTATTTTCCATTTTTTTTATTTGTTTAAGATAGGGTTTCACTATATATCCCTGACTTCCCTGGAACCCACTATGTCAACTAAGCTGACTTCACACTTAAAGGGATCCTCCTGCCTCAGCTTCCTGGCAGGTGGCTTTTGGATTTCTTTTTCTTTATGCATGCTAGGGTAGGTAGTTTGAGCTGTGACCTATGCTCCATTAAGATTTTTAATGAGCCGAAGACATCCCCACTTTTTTGAGTTTTGCAACCTAGTCATATTTGTGTCAGATGCACTACCTTTGGCCGTAGGGCATGAAGGAATACTGCCTTCCCTTGAGATTTTTTTCTGATTCTGTGTCAAAATCACGGGGCTGGAGAAAGAGTTCATTTGGTAGAGTGCCTGTCCAACATTCACAATCGGTTTCAGTCTCTAGCACCTTGTGAACAAGGTGTGGCAGTCCGTGTCTGGAAGTTCAGCATTTCCTTGGGAAGGAGGGCCAAGAGGGTCAGAAGTTCAGGCTCGTCCTTGGGCTATACAAGACCATATTTTTGTTTCTCTAAATGAGGAAAGAAAAGTAAAGGGAAAGTAGGAAAATGATGGGTGGGGGGAAGAAAGCAAGAATTCTTCCTAATCCCAGCTAACTTTCACTGGAGACAATGTATTCACCAAACTACAGAGCTCTTCACATACATTGTCTCAATCGGCACCAAACAGCTCTCTGAGGTCAGGGGTTTTATTAGGTCTATTTTGTAGAGAAGTCAACTGAAGCACAGAGGGTGAAGCAAGCTGCCCAGGGTCACATTCAGAGTAACAGGGAATTTAAGAACTTTTCCAAGTTAAAATGGTGTCTGTGACCATTAGTGCCAGGCTTCAAGAACTAAAAAAGAAGAAGAAAAAAGTGGAAGCCAAACCTGTCTTGTTTGGTACTCGATCTTCAGCACCTCCCCCAGACGTGGGTGCTAAGGGTACATAACTCCCTGGACACTGGAAATGGGAGTTAGTCTGTGCCAAGCACTGATGGCTTGTGGTGATCTCCCCAGGGTACAGGGCTTCTCTAATCCTTGTGGCTTACACTAAGGGGTCCATGACTGGTGTTCAAAATGCAGTCAGTGGCGGGGAGGGAGTGGAGGTCAGGCAGGGATAGAACAGTGCATAAGATGCTTGTAGCACAAGCATGAGAAAGAATTCATCTACCCAGCATTCACATAAAAAAGCCAGGTGGCTTTGGCAACCCTCTTGTAATACCAACATTTGGGAGACGAGAGAGATTCCCATAGGCAAGCTGGTGAGCTAGACTAGCCCAGAAGAAGTGCTCTTGGAGAGGGGAGGGACCCTGCCCCACTCCAATAAAGCCACACCTCCTAATAGTGCCACTCCTATATGCTTATTGGGGCCAATTACATTCAAACTACCACATTATATTATCACCCACAGTCATGCCCACAAGCCACCCTTATGCTCACGGATACTCCCTTGCCAGGTTCTAGATTATGCCAAATTGGCAATTAAAATTTATCACCACACTTCCAAATGAAGACAACTCTGCTGAAGAAGTTCAAGTCCTATAGCTTGAACTTCTAGCCTCTAGAACTATTAGAAAATAAATTTCTACATTTTAAGCATGTGGTGTGCCAGCCTTAACAAACTAGTATGCTAAAGTACATAGTGCTCACCTCAGTTTCTGATGACAGGGAACAGACAACTCAAAACCTAATGAAATCTTAATGTGAACTCAAGTAATCTCACTCTACAGTTCATGGGTCTTATTGTACGTTCTCTGTGCTATCCAACGTGAAAATCCCAGACACAGGTGGCTCTTGAGCACTTGAGTTGTGCCTAGTGCCTATTTCTATTTTTTTTTTTTTTGAGACAGGGTTTCTCTGCGGCTTTGGAGGCTGTCCTGGAACTAGCTCTTGTAAACCAGGCTGGTCTCGAACTTACAGAGATCTGCCTGCCTCTGCCTCCCAAGTGCTGGGATTAAAGGTGTACACCACCACTTCCCGGCCCTATTTCTAGTTTATTTTATTTAAATAGGTGAGTGTGTGTGATCCTATGTATATGTATATGTATATGTATATGTATATGTATATGTATATGTATATGTATATGTATATGTGGAGGCCAAAAGGTCAACACACTGGGTTCCATTCTCCACCATTCTAATTTTTTTTCAGACAGGGTCTTTCGCTGACCTTGTAGCTCATTGATTCTACTAGACTGGCTGGCTAGCCACCCCCAGTGTCTCAGCCAGGGTTTCTATTGCTGTGATAAAACACCATGACCAAAAGCACGTTGGGGAGAAAGGGGCTTATTTCCATTTAGAGTTCCCTATCATAGTCTATCATCAAAGGAAGTCAGGGCAAGAATTCAAGGTACAAACCTGAAGGCAGGAGGCAAAGGGGGTTACTTATTGGCTTACTCTTTTTTTGTTTTTTTTTTTTGTTTTTTTTTTTGTTTTTTTTTGTTCAGTCTTTTATACTTCCTCTGTAATGCCCCTAGCCATGCCCAAAAGTGGGCCTGGCTATTGACGTAGTTCATTTTGGCTTACTCTTTCTGAAGCACTCAACTTGGTTTCTTATACATGCCAGGACCTCCAGCACAGGGGTTGTACCAACTACATCGGCCTGGGCCCTCCCATGGCAATCACTAGTTAGGAACATGCCCCACAGACTTGCCTACAGGCCAATCTTATGGAGGCATCTTTTTCTCAATTATGATTCCCTCTGCACAGATGACTCTAACTTGTGTGGCTCTAACATGAACACTAAGCTCTCCAGGACACCCAGGGATCCTCCTGTCTCCACCTCCCCAGTGCTGGGTTACAGTTATGTACTGCTGACCGGCTGCTTTATGTCATCTTTGGGGACCTGAACCCTGGCCTCATGTTTACAGGGCAGGTACTTTAGTCAATGAGACCTCTCTTTTATTTTCCAGCCCACGAACTGAATTTTTAAACTATGTTAAAATACAATTAAAATTTCAATAATTCCTTGTGGATGATGGCATTCATATAAGATGTAGCTCTATGCAGTTTTAAAGACGGCACTTAAGGACTTTTTCAGCATCTTGGAGAAGCCTGTGTGCTCTAAGAAACCTACCTCTATCTTTGTTCCCTATCCCTGCTTGTTTTAATGTTTTTGTTTTTGTTTTTTTCTCCAGTCCTTTCTGATTTACTCCTGGGTGCCTGGCTCCCCTGTTCAGGGGAAGACAATTCAGAGGAGGCTGGGGGGAGGGGAGAGTGGAGGGAGTGGGAGTTGGGGCCAGGCTGACTTTTCCCAAATCCTGTGGCCTGGGCAGTGCAAGGTCTTGGCACTCTGCTGTAAGCATGGGTGTTAGCCAACCAAATGCCAAGCGGCACAAACACTGAGTGACATTTTCAGAACTATTAATATTTCATCAGAAGTGATCACTTTTCCTTTAAATACACTCTTAAAAGGTTTTCTACATTCTTAACTATAATTTTATTCAGTCTAGGTCCTCAGAATTTTTCCCAAAGGAGCACATCTTCAATTTCATAATGAAAATCAGAAAGGAATGAAGCTCGGCTTGCAAAACTCAGAGTCAACATTTCCAGGAATTCAGTCCCTCTGTAAAGAGCAAAGCTACGGAATGGGTACCTACAGTATTCCAGACTCTTTATAGACAGTGTACTATTAGTTTATCCAACATGTATTTATTGAATACTTACTGTGTGCTAGAAATGTGATAGACTCACTATGTAGCTCAGGCTAGTCTAGAACTTGGATCCTCCTGTCTCAGCCTCCAGAGTGCTGGGATTACAGGTGTGTACCACCACACCCAGCTCAGTAATTTGGGCTTCACAAACTTGGCAGCAGCAGTTTGGTCTATCTGTAGTCACACCTCCTTTCATCAGAAGATGGCTTCAGGAGAGGACTTACCAGCTCTTTCTCCATCATCATGCTTCTTTGGTCCATGAGCTACTGGAGGGAGAGGAAGAAAGATTCGGGTCACATAGCTAAGGAGTACAGTGTCAGATGTCTGAGACTGGCTTGTCCAGGCCTCATTTGTCTGCCTCTATTCTTTCTTCCTCCATCTCCTGCTGGTTCTTTCCAGGGTGGGCCCTTGGAGGAGGAATCACTGCTTTGGGGGATCAGGGAATGCCTGGCAACGTGCTGTGCAGCTAGTAAGGAGAAGTTTGTGGGGGGATGGGAACTACCGATCCCTAGTAAAGAGTGAGCTGAGTTTTTGTTTGTTTGTTTTCTATCTCTGCCTCCCTGTCCCAGCGCTGGGGTCGCTTGGGCACTAGATCAGGTCTAGAGTCCTGAGCTTTTGAATTCCAGCCTCCCTTCTTGAACTCTGGACAGGCACAACCTTTTAGGACTTGGAGACTCAGTTTCCTTCCATTATGTATGCCTAAAAAGAAGCAGTAGTAAACTCTTGAGCTTGAATACGATGAGATTTGAGTTTAGCCCTTGGCATTCGGTGCTCCCCTGGAATGGCAGTTAGGATTAATGCCAGAGGACAAAAGGGCAAGTCCCCCACCCCCACAGGCTCTTAAGTTTGTGTGTAGTGGCTGGGGTGGAGACAGTGTTTCACTTTGATTTACTTAAAGGGGACGCTCCCTGGCTTCTTCGCAGCTACACCCCGCCCCCACCCCACCGGCGGGCCTTGGATACGAACGCCCGGCCCGTGTCCCCGCGCACTCAGCCGCCGAGCCGTTGCCCTTGAACCCACAGAAAGAATCCCAGCTCTCGACGGCAGGGGAGTGGGAGATACTCGGCACGCAAATCTGCTGACCCCCGGCCCGCCCTGCCCAATTGGCGCCCTTTTAAGGGTTGAGACCCTCTGTGGTGCTGGGTCGCAGTTCTGCGCGGAGGCGCGACAGGTGTCCGCTGGGGACCTGGGCCAGGCTGACTGCCAGCACAACACTGCATTGGGGATTTCTTTTTAGAGAGGCAAAGCAGCAGTAGCAGCAGCAGAGAGAGAGGGACAGAAGGGGGCAGACGGGAGAACTAAAGCCAGGACCTGCGGTGAGCGGGGGCCGTTAGCCCTCGGTGTGCACCGGATCTCTGGGAAGGTGGGAGGGGACAGTCCCATGGCCTGCTCCCTCCCAGTCTAATACAGTGTCCAGCCTTTACTCCTCTCTCCTGGCGGCTTGACAGGCGAGAATGGGCTGAGTCACAGGCCCTGAAAGGTGTCACAGGGGTGTCGCAACGGGGGAGTGCCGGGTTCTGTGGGGAGAGCCAGTCCTCCCCTCCAGTCGTTCCCAGATGTCATTCTGCCCACCCAGGCGCTTGGTTCCTGAGTTCCGGGGCATTCCACGGTTACTAAGTTACTGGTTTTTGTTGACTTTTAAATATTTTCTTCTACGGGAGAGGGGGAGGGGGGCAAAAGTCAGGAAAGAGCAAATAAAAGCAAGTCAACATAAGCCCCCCTTCCCCAAAAGAAAGTTGCCCCCCTTTCCTCATCCCCATCCAAACAAAACGCCTCTGAAACCCACAGCTTGGCTGGAGCAACAGCCAGCTAGAACTGACTACTTCCCAGGCCCAGTCTTTAGCTCCCTTTCTGGTGAATGAGGGCTGGTGGTGGACAGTCCCTTTGTCTCCCAGCCCTGGGTGGACAAAGGGGCTTCCGGAAAGAGAGAAAGAGGATGGCCAGTGGAAATGGGCTCCCTCCATCCTCGGCCATGGTGGCCAAGCGTCCCTCCGCCCTGGGGCCATTCCCCAGATACGTGTGGATCCACCAGGATACACCTCAGGATAGCCTAGATAAGATTTGTCATGACATCTGGAAAAGAGTTCAGGGCTTGCCAGAGTACCTGCAGCCCAGGACCTCACTGGAGAAACTCTCTGCACCGATGACAGCGACTGTCAGCTTCCAAGAAGAGTGAGTAGTGCCCTGTTTGGTTGATTATCAAGGAATGAAGGGCGGGGGGCGGGGAATGAAGTCTGACTTTGGGTTGAACTCTCTGGCCCAGTGTTAAACTCTATATACATTTTCTTCATCCCTATAATCCTTAGTATGGGTAGTTTGGAGGAGGGAGCTGACCAAGGTCCTGAAGTTTCAGGGGCAAGGGAAGAACCCATTCCTGATGGCTTCTTTCCAGCTAAGGAGGCATTTGTCTTTCTAAAGGCGTAGGTAACTAAGATGAAGCTCTGGAGTCTTCGCAAAAGCATTCTCACCAAGCCTAGGAGTTAGATCACTGTCCCCAAAGGCAACTAGATGATCTTTCCCCTCTCCCAAGAAAAGTTCGGGCATTGGCACAGATGAGTCTGGTGGCTGGAAACCACATCTGGAATCCCCTAATACAGAGAGCAGCTGTCCCATTCAGCATCCACAGAGCTACTGCAAGAGCGCACATCAAAATATTTACTGGGAAGGCATTGACATATTCAGAGGACATAATAGAAAATTAAAGTGCGGGAAGATGGCTGTAAATAGCCGGTTTCCCGGATGGGAAATCCCATGTCTGGGAAACACGGAGCTAAGTGTTTCTGTATTAGGAAAAAGTTGAGGAGATATTGTTGGGGCTGGATATTGGAAAGGAGAGGAAGGAGCAGAGAGGAAGAAGGGATCTCATTAGGAAAAGAAGTGCATCTGCTGTGGTGATTAATGTCACTGCTGAGTACTCTTTCAAGGCTCTGCAGCTAGCTTCAAAGTGGGCTGCAAGCGTTAATTAATCCAGCATCCCTATGAAACAGGTATTAGTGTCCCCATTTTACAGATGGATTAAGTGTTAATAATTAAGTGATAATTAAAGACTAAGTGATAATTAAGTGTCGTCTGCCCCCAACACATGCTCCAACTCAGTTCAGAGATGGGGGAACCATCCAGGCATTTATCAGCTGCCTCAGGTTTCAGGGCTTTCTAAGCAATAGCTGAGAGGGAAAGCAAAGTATAGCAGGTGCTCAGGTCTGCACTTCCTGCAATCCCTTTGCAAGCTCCTTTGCTTGATGCAGATGAAGGTAGAAGGCATGCGGGCTGCTTCTGCCTCCTCTGCACTCTGCTCAGCAGGACCCGGCTCAGATGGAAACGGCCTTTCTATAGCCAGAATCCTGTGGCTAGTCTGTTCAGTGGCACCAAGCTCCTCTGCCTTGTTCATTGCCATCTGCTCTGGGACAGTGCCTTGGCATGGGAAACCTTGGGGCTGTACTCAGCTCTCTCAGTGGCCAAGGAGCTGATTGTCCACTTTCTGCATCAAAGGTCAGCAGCAATTTCCAGTAGATAGCCCCTTCTCTGCCAGGTCACACTGAATTCATGGAGACAGACTCTACTTCCAGTCCACACTTGGCCAGAAATTGAACTAGCCTACCTTTGGCCAGTTGATTCACTCTGTTTGGCTTTGATTTCCTCATCTGCAAATTGAGGGTGATGTGCTCTGCCTTGTCCAACTCAGAGTCGATAACGAGGGTCAAATGTGATGGGAAACAAAGAAATGAAAGATGCATTATAGAAACAAGGCTGCCTTAATATGTAATGCACCAAGTTTTGGGGTAGGAGAGCTACTGCTGTTGGCTTTCTTCTGGAGTTTTCCTATTGCACTCCAAGTCCAGAGGGTGCTTCACACAGCCACCCTAGAGTCAAGTGGGCTGTTTGCTGGGTCCCATCCACACTTTAGCCAGAGCTGTTCAGGCTTTTCTTGGTTTTACTAACTGGAGTTCTGAGTATGGTGGCATTTGTTAGAGTTTGGAGACTAAGAAGAGACCCAGGAACCCACCTACTTGGATGAATAAATCACATCATAGTTGTAGCTATCCACCTGGTAGAACACAATAAGAACTTCGTGAAATTGAAGCCAGTGCTGCTGGAGTCAGACAACCAGGTTCAGCCCTGTGCTGGCTGCAGAACCTGTGACTGTATGGTGGATCTTAGCTTTGGTTTCCTCATCTGCCAAATGGAGATGATGGTAGGGGTTGCTGGAGGTGACAAATTAGAATCATTCAATGGTCCCGCTAGTAATTAGGGTTCATAAATTCCTTCTAAGAACAACAGTTATAATTTCTGTAAACTTTGCAATCTTTGCAGACAGGAGGTAGGTACCTTTTCAAACTCCCCATTCTTTTTTCATTATACAAATTTGCAAATCCCAAAAATAAATTAGGGTAGTGAGAGTCTATAGATCTAAATTTCTTTTTTTTAATTTATTTTTATTTTGTGTGTATTCATGTTTTGCCTGCATATATATCTGTGTGAGGGTTTTGGATCCTGGAGTTAGAGACAGTTATGAGTTGCCACGTGGGTGCTGGGAATTGAATCCAGGTCCTCTGGAAGAGCAGAAGAGCAGTCAGTGCTCTTAAGTGCTGAGCCATCTCTCCAGTCCCAGATCTAAATTATCAAATTGTGCCATTCTGGTTTCAATTGTTCCTCTGCCCCTTTTAAATGAAATTTATTCTCATTGATTTGTTTGTTTTCTTTTTTGGTTTTTTGAGACATGGTCTCTCTACGTAGCTCTGCCTGTCCTGAAACTCTGTAGACTAGGATGGCCTTGAACTCATGGAGATCTGCCTTCCTCCACCTCCTGAGTGCTGGGATTAAAAGTGTGGGCCACCAACTATTTGCTTACTTGAGACAGGATCTCATGATGTAGCCCAGACTGGCCTGGAACTTATTATATATCCCAGATGAACTTGAACTCACAGCCTCTCAGGTGTTAAAATACTTCGTTACAGAGGAGTAGACTGAGGTTTGAAGAAGCTCTTTTCTTTTCCTTCATAAAGGGTAGAATTTCAGACATGGAGTACTGTACCATCTTGTCCCAGCTGTGACTAGAGTGACCATCTTCCCCTGGAACATAAGGCATCTCTGCACAGTCACTTTACCTCAGAACCCCATGTTCTGAGTGATCAAGGGTAAACTTTAAAACTAGAGGTCACACCACTGTTTCTTATGTGTTCATGCCACAAGATACCCACCTGTTGGTCTTTTCCCTGCCTGATGTGTAGAGTTTGGTTTGATGGTGTCTCTTTTTGGGACTGCTAAACAAGTTCTTGAGTCTTGTTACTCACCAACTTTAACGTTTTTCAAAAATATTTATGTATATGGGCGTTTCATGTGTATGTCTGTGCACCACATGCGTGCCTAGTGCCCATAGAGGCCAGAAGACAGTTTTGGTTTCCCTCAATCTGGAGTTACAGACAGTTGTGAGCTGCCGTGTGGGTACTAGGAATTGAAGCTGGATCCTCTGGTAGAGTACCGGTGTTCACCACTGAGTCATCTCTCCAGATCCCAGAAAAAGTTTCTTGACACATCCCTAAATGTCTCAGAAACCTGGACATGCGGTTTTGGAGGCCATCCTGAACTGCCTGAGTCACTTGCCTGATGTCCTTGCCAAGCAGTCATTCACACCCTCTCAGATGGAGAAGTGCTGTGTCTGAAGCTGTCAGCTCTCTCTACGGGGCTTGTTTTCCCTAGAGCTGAAATCTATTCCCTTCAAACTAAGGGTATTCTTTTCTTGGGGCTCCAGAATTACTGTCTCATCTCCGCGTAGTGCTTAGATGGGAAAGGACAACAGCAGACCCCTCCCAGGACTTTTTGTCTTTGTAAACTGTAAACCCCTGGTTTTCTTTTACTCTTTAACTGACTTGTATGTTGGCTTCCTGTTAATATTTCTGATGCTTATGGCAATGGGGTTCCTAGAACCAAGTGCAGATATGTGGGAGGGATCCATGCATGCTGACTGTATACCCCATGCTGCATCGTATATTCCTGTTAGTGATGATTGACACCACAGTCACATTCCTTTTCATGCTGTGTTTGCTCTATAGGCACATAGGAGTTCATTTACTCAATCGAAAATATTAGGTACCTACTGTGTGCCCGGTGCAGTGCTAAGTGATGGGGGACAAATCTTTTGAGCCAGATAAAATAACAAAGTATGTAAAATTTACACAGCAACAAAAAAAATCGATGATAACTGCAAACTGTGAAGGTATTCTCATTGGAGGAGACCAGTGATGAACACATAAAAGAGGTGAGATAATATCAGATAGCAACCAGTGCAATATGGAAACAACATCCAACAAAGAAATAGCAAGAGACCTGTTAGACTGAAGTATAGGAGCCTGTGAACTGAGTCTCAGATGCCAATAAGCAGCTGCTCATCTGACAGTTCTGGAGGAAACATCTAGACGGAGGACAGGAGACAGAACAAGCACAAGGACCCCGAAAGGATGATGTGGGCTTTGGGAAAAATAATGTGACTAGAGAGCCCAGAGGGATGGGGACATTGTACCAGCTGACATCCAAATTAGGCTAGTGAGGTCTTAAGTGACCTCAAAGGTCACCATATAGAGCTAAGAGCTCGTGCATGTGTGCTGGCACACTCTGGGCGTATTTTCAGAAATCCCTTCAGTTTCTGCACAGGGATAGCTTAGGATGTGTGAAAGGAGTCAGAGGTGTCTTAGAAGATGCTACAGTAAACCAGCTAAGGCCCACATGGGACAGTATCTGGGCCATGGTGACTGTTCCACAGATGGAAGGAGTAGGGGGTTCCATGTACAACATGAGGGAAACAGGGGCCCTGCTGATGGCTTGGGCACACCGAGACCAAGAGGTGGGACGCACAGTTTTTTACCTTGGGTTACAGGTTGAACAATGGTGCCATGTAAAGAGGTGGGGGAAGAAGTGGGGAGAAATGGGTTTTGGCAAGAAATCAACAGTTCTGTCTAGAGTCAATTAAACTCCAGAATCCTGCTCAGTTATCTTTTAATTAGTCTTAAATTTGGGCTTAGAGAATTGTGGCAAGCCACTTACTGACTCATATTCCAGGATTACATCTTCACTCATTCTCCACAGCATTGCTAATAAAATTCCTCAGCCTCAGAATGGGGGCTTTGGGTTTTCTGTTGACTCTATTGCTCTCACTACGGAATGGTACTAGTTCATTC